TATCTTGCATGATATCGCTGGCTTGAGACTTGGAGTCTGGGGCAAAGTGAACGTAGTAGCCTTCAATGGCAAGCTTTTCCTTGCATCCTTTCCACAGCCATTTGTTTGTAGTACCCTCTGTCTTTAAGCCTAAGACAAGTCATCAAGAAGTCAGGTACGTACATACATAACTCAAACATAAAAGGGAGATTTGCGAGACAGCCTTACTGATCAGATTCGATAGGGCTTCTTGACACCTCGCTCTTTCTGTGTAAGCCAGAGATGTCAGTAGGACCACAACGGTTTTTGACAAAAGCATATATATCACAACATACCATTGACTTTGAGTTTACTCAAGTTGAGTAGCCCAGCCTCGGTGCCAGTCACAAATGCCTGTAGTTGTGCGGCTACGTGTTTTTGGGGGTTGCATAACTTGTTGTGCTCCACCCATTTTAGAGCGCGCGGTGTAGCTCGGACAACCTGGTAGGCATCATTGCCTAAGTAATTTGATACACCCATCATGACGAAGTCACCCATGTATGTCGCAGACATATTGTTGGCCTGAAAGTACAATATAGTCAGAAGAGCTTTCATTTGTAACTTGCAAATGAAGAAAACACACCTCGATTTGCCATTTAATCATAAAATTATTTACAGCAACACGCGCGCTGGCCAAAGATCTATTTTTGCCTCGTGTATTATTGGATTCGAAATCGGGTACAGAATCAATGGAGCTGGATGCTACATTCGCGGGTTCGTTGATGGTTTGATTCTCGACTTTGTAAGAGTCTTGCTCAGCTTGTGACATTCCACGCCATCTAGTCGAAGCTGATTTTGAGGCTTCTCCAGTTGCTACACCTGAGGCTGAAATAAGAACAATCAACTGATATCAACTTGTTATACGTATCGAAACATATCTCAATCCTCACCATTTCGATACATTTCTCGGACCTCTTTGCTTTGAGTAAACCGTTGGTATTTGTGCACCCCTTTCCATGATGCTTTGACACCCCTGTAATGATCTATGTTTGTCAGTAGATTTGTATGATACTAGATTGAAAGATATCAACTCAACTTACCATAGTTTATGTACCGCTGGAACCGCAACTTGATTATTTATACAGTTTATTGCCAGTACCTTATCAAACTCATCGTGCAAACGCATGAAGAGTTCGGTCAAGGCTGGTGGTACAGTCGAGCCCTTAGCGTGCTTGGAAGCGAGTGCTCGCAGTTTGACAGAAGATCTGTTCATCATATCTTCCGTGGTTGGAAGATTTATTGATGCTGATTTCTCACTATCTCGTTCTCCTCTGAGCGAGTTAGGGAGAAATAACTTAACAATGGCTCTTGTAGATGTAGATGCCGGTGTCTGAGTTGAAGTCGGTGTGGTTGTGCTGGTGGGTGCTGTTGTGGGTGCGGATCGCGGTGGATCTTGACAACGGCGGCCGGTGTTGCGTTTCTGAGTCACTCTAGCAGGGGGGTTTTCAGGACCATTAGTTCCGCTGGCGTGACCAGGAAGTGGTACTTCCACACTTTGATTTGATTGTCTAACGGATGGATGCAACTCCAGCGCACGGACCGAAGCGACGCGTGGATTCACTACAGGAAAGACTATGCCGGTAAGATTGTTAGTGCCGGTAAGAGTGTTTGCCTCGTGTGGATGGGGAGCTTGATTTTGTTTGGAGGTCTGAAGGGAGTTTGAATGTGGAGTTTGACTTTGCTGGCTGTTAGGAGCCAAGCCAGGGGGATATCGAGAATTACCATAGCGGTGAGAATGATCATAGTTAAGATGGTCATTATCATAGTTATCATGAGAGTTGTGATAGTCAGGATATGTATAGCTATACATATCACATTGAACTTGCTGACTTTGATTTTGCTGAAGAAAGTGATTGTGACCATGATCATGTCCGTGAATCTGATTTTGTTGGTGATGGAAATTTGGTTGATTGGTTTGGTGCTGAGGAACCTGCTGACCAGAACCCTGTGCTTGTGATGTGGCCAAGTTAGTGTGAGCAGGGATTCCAGAGTGATACGGATTCTCATTCATGATGAAGTTGTGTGCAAGGAGAAGGTGCTGGATGATTTAGAGTTTTTTGCACTTTGAAGATGATAAGTAAGGTTCAAGCGGAGTAATGCATGTCAGAAACAGTGCTCAGACAGGTTTTCACCATTGGAAATTGGTAAAATGACAAGTTTCTGGCCAAATGAACTTGGCTGAGTCCCTTAACAAAGTCCCTTGCCTGATTAAAATTGCACGTGGTGGAAGCCAAACTAACCAAATGTCAAACATCGTGGCAAACACTTATATCTCAACCCTGATAAAGTGAAAGCAAATATCAACTCTGAAAAGCAAATATCAACTCTGATACCTTGGATTACTCTTTGTCAACTGCAACTATCTCTGCCAATCTGCACACACACAGATAGAAAGGTAGGCTGACAACCAAATATGCTCACTTGATTTCAAACTTAAGTCACAAAACATAACCATTTAGTATCAAGAGTTATGCACACTTGATCAGCACTTCAAAGAAAATAATAAGGCCCAAGTAAAAGCACTGATTTTTGCACAAGAAAATGAAATGAACAAAGATGATTGAATTGCAATGATAATGAACACCAAGGATTGGGTCCCTGCGTGCTACTATACTACACTGACCAAGAAATGTACAAGGGTAAGAAACCCAACAATTATTATGCCGCGAGGGTGCTCAAAACATACCAATAATTGTTTTAATTTGTTATCCAACAATGAGGAATCAGGTTAAGAATCAAAAATTTATTGAGAAATGTGTCCTTGCAGCTACTATGTTGAACGGCAGATATGCAAGCAGCCGTATAGTTGGCCACAGGTGTCATAGCAGTAAAGTGATGTTATCATCAGAAAAATTCAAATTTGAAATTGAAAATGGCTCAGTAATCATCATCATGAGACTCAAATTGAAAGAGAAAATGATGTTCATGTCCTTGCGCAGTTGTCCCGCCATGTTGAATGGCCAAAAATATTTGGGGTTATAGAAGTTCCCACAGATATATCAAGGGTATTGTAATGCTAGAATTAAATATAATATATATTGGCTGAAAAATTGAGCCCTTACTGAAGCATATTGGAACATAGTTGGAAAACTTATTGAGTTATCATGTCCTTGAGTGGTACTACCGGGAACAGGTGACACATTTATGGAGTTGTAGAGGTTCCCACATACGTTGGAAATTTATGCTTAGAATATCCAAAACATATCACATTGGCGGAAAAAATGAGCCCTTACCAAAGCCACCTGGACCAAACTGGACAAAGTTATTGAGGATTGTGTCCTTGGGTATCACTTAGCTGAACGGGTGAACATATTGGGGTGGTACAGGTTCCCCTACATGTCATGGAGGTATATTCAGTATTCCATCAGAAAGGGATTACAGTTGCGCAGAGAATGAGCCCTTACTGAACCATTTTGGACCATTTTTGGAAAAGTTATGAAGGAATGTGTCCCTGTGAGTCATAAGAACCAAAATACGCTGAAGGGTGGAGATGTATGGGGCTCTAGAGGTTCTTACAGATGTCATAGGGGTAAAATAAATGTTCCATCAGAAAGATATCACGTTGGCGGAAAAAATGAGCCCATATAGAAGCTTTTTGGATGAGATTTGAGAAAGCTGTGAAAAAAGTTGTCTCTTTGACCAATAAGAATGACATAAATATGTGCATTATTGAGCTCATGTTTTGATGAAATTTCAAAGTCACTTTAGACTAAAACTTCCTTATTAAACCCCCCCTAAAAAAACCTCAGGATTTCATTGGAACAAACCAAATTCTCAAAAGACTAATATTGGCTGAGATATTGTCATATAAAAAAGTGTGTCAAAATTTCAATTGGCCAAAAGAGGAAGAAGAAGGCATTTTTTCAGAGAAAGTTTATATTAAATGGAAAATGAAAATTAATTTCAAACCACTTTCATTATTGCCATATTAAGTTTGGACCAAAATTGAGCGAGATATGGGCATTTTGTGACAATTACAAACCTCCGGAAATTCACCAAAACCTCTACATGGCAATCAAGAAGCATGATTTTAACAAAATGACGTTAATAAACTATCCATAAAATTTTATTTTGAACAAGTTTCATTATTAGAACATCAAGCTAGGGCCAATATTGAGTGACTTACACACATTTTGAGGGATTTGCAACCCCACATCATAACACAAATCCTCTATATGACCATGAGGAAGCAGGATTTGACTGAAATGGTGCTATCAAACTCTCAATTTAATTTTGTTTTCATCAACTTTTATTATTGTACCATCCAGGTTTTGGCAAAGAATTGCCGAGTTATGCTCATTTTGTGGTGTTCACCACTCACCAAAACCTGTACATGAGCTTCAAGATGGAGGATTTCACGTAAATGGTCTTATTAAACTCCCCTTGGAATTTGTTTGCCAACAATTTTGATTATTGCACCGTCAAGGTAGGGCAAAAACTGAGCGAGGTATGCTCTTTTTATGGCTTTCACAATACCCGTTTCTCAATTTACTCATCTCTACACGATTGTGTACCCAATCTTATTCAAAGATAAGACGGTGGTGTGGCTAGATATAATAATTTGTAAGAATTGAACTCGAGAAGATAGAACTTGCAGTGTAGCGTGGAGTCCATCAAGCACGCTTGATCGATCAGCTTGATCGATCAAGCGTGCTATAGGGCTATTAGGTCACAGACATGTAAGACATCGTTCTGAAGTTGTGATAAGCCAAGTGTAGTGTCAAGTCCTTCAAGCACGCGAGCTCAATCAGCAATCGAGTGGGGCTATTAGGTCACAGACATCATGGTGAGACATGAGTCTGAAGTTGTGATAAGTGAAGTGTTGGAAGTGTTGTGTCGAGTCCATGTGGGGACTTATCTCACTATCATGTCTTCTAACAAGAATATCGAGAAACACTTGTTTGAATTACTTTCAAGTCCAAAGAGATCACAAATCGTCTCAAAATCAACAAAACAATATGTATTACATGATAGAACAAGAACTAAATATCCATCGTTTCTGGGTCAAGGGCAGCCTGGATATCCACTAAATCGAGGCGATGTACAAGCCCAGAAACAACATCATCATCATCTCCATCTAAACTACTGAGATCGCTTTCGTCGTCTTCGATAAACACTACCTCCTGTTCTTCGACAGCACGTACAATCGGTGTGTCTAACACAGCAGTAGCTATCATGTTGTCTAAAACTCCAGGAATCATAGACATGCCTGCTTTGTGTAGAGCCCTGATATGTTGTAGCTGGCTGTCCCATGATCGCTTGAGGTCTTCATCACCAACTTGATATTGTGACTGAGTGAAAACTTCGTGTAGACCTTCGTGCCACGCGAGCTGTAAGTTTGTAATCTTAATAAACTGATTCTTCAAGACCACGGCAGCTGCATCGTGACGAGCTGATGATGGTAGATATGTCAGATTTGGGTGAGTAAGGAGAGGAGTTAGTAGGTTGGGTTCTGGAGTCGGCTCAGATGGTAGAAGTATCAGTCGGTTCCAGATGCGGTCGTGCCTGCTAGTGGCCCAACGCATAGCTCGGCGAACCTCCCAGCCAAGCCGCCTGAGCTCCTCGTTTCCTCGATCAACGTATGCGATCTGCTGCATCCCATGCCTTGTGTTGGGATCAACAGCCCAAGGAGCTTCAATTTCGGTGAATAGAGAGTCGTTCCAGAAGGGGTGATCGGCTTGTATTTCCAGTAGATCGTTATAATTGATATCTTCAGGGAGCCGGTGTTCAGGATACTCAGCATGATATTCCGCCCGAAGAGTGCGGTATGTTTCTACCAGCTTCTTAAGTTGGGCTGTGTGCCTTCGGAGCGCAACCATAAGATTGGTCTTGCCCTTATGACCTACAATTGAAGAGCAGACAGTTAGTGAGAATCCAAAGGAATGAGTTCCAAACAAAGGGCGGACCTAAATTGGATCGGTGACCATCAGATCGACTTTGTTGAAGGGGTCGCTTCTCCTCGCAGATGGCGATGAACTTCAGCCCCACTTCGTGCTTACTGTACCAAAGTTTCAGGTACGCTTCTTGTTCTTTATCTAAGTTCGAGATGTCTGTAGTGCCTACTTTCGCCGCCTGCTTACGAATCTTCTCTTCAAGTTCAGTTGTTGTCTGAAGTCGGGCTATAGCCTGTTCGGTAGTAAGCACCGGCCGAGACCTTTGATTAAATCATTGATGATGAGATGATCAGAGATTCTATATATATTGATTGATATGAGAATCAAACATCCACTTACCAAGCGTGGTCCAACTCGTCTTTTAACAACAACAGGCGTCCAAGTTCCAACTTTTGCTTCAGCAGGATAGCCTGCTTACTTGAATATGCTTCGGGCTCAACAGTCCATTGCCCACGGAAGAAATCAGCTGAATAGTTTTCTCCGGGGCAGGCTGGGTTGGCCATCGCACACAGTGATGTTACGGTGGCTTCAGCTTCTCTCAAGACTTTCATCACATTTCGAAATCGTTTGCGAAGCCACTGACCTACAAGATCGAACACATGTCAGTATTTGGTCTACATGCGATGAATGACAGAGAATAGACTCACCACATCCTTCATTGACCTTAGCAGCATAAAAAACCGTGCGCCAATGAATTGAGAGTAGCCGATGAAGTCGAGTTGATATTTGAAGGCAAGCTACGAGGGCCGATAAAAAGGACCACAGCCTTTCAAGGCCCTCGCCATCTGAAAGCCCCCAGTACTTGTTGAAGCGAGGATGATAGCATGGAAAACTGAGGTACCGAACCTCATACGGAGATTGTCAGGTGGAAAGAGGCCACGCTGTATTGTAGATTCATCGAATTGATGAGTAGCTGTGGAGCTATACGAGATATGGGAAAGAAACTCACTTTTGCTATATGTTCATCTAAGTGACAACCTATGTCATAGAGTATGCCGATGAACTTGTCAGGATACAATTCTCGAAGCTGTTTGAGAATTGCTACAGGATAATCAAGTCTAAATCTGAAAAGGGTCAGTGTTTAATTTTTTCCATTACTCGATAGGAAAATAGAAGGAAAGCTTACTTTTCACCGCTCTGATAGATATTGATGAAGTGGAGTGGTGTATCATGACGACAGGCAGCTGCAAACAGACCTGTATCATCACACCTGTCCCATGAGGAACTGTTGCGAACATCATTTGCAGCGGTGTGAGAATCGGAACATGAGGTCTAGAGTTGAGAGGAATAAGCTCAGAATTAGTGAAGATTAACAAAAATGAATGGAGATGAATGGAAGACGATACATGCCTTGATGTTATGGGCTTGGGCATCAGTTCGTTGGCAAGCAACAACTTCTTTTTCGAGTTTGCTAGGTCGAATGAAGGAGCTCGGATATTGGTCTTCTTGAGGACAATCCTTACTGGCGTGGGATTGATGGCGATGTTGGAAGTTTCCATCCATTGCAATTATAAAGTCCGGTTCTTCAGGTGACAGCTTGACTTCCCCTTCTACTGGACCAAGACAACGACAACATCGATCGGCAGAGATATCGAGTGGAGTGAGTTCAAGGCCGTCTTCATATATCTCTTGCTCGCCCAAGAGAATTCGGCGATAGATGTCGATTGACTGAGTGAAAGGATGTCTCAGACTGCGATTGATATTCTTGGTGGAAGTCTTTTTGACTGGTTGAGGTTTCAATCTTGATGCGCATTGTTCATCCAGAAACACCATGAGTGCGTCAATAAATCCTGAAGTTGATGCAACCGTGTTGTTCCAGAAGTGATGATGGAATCGCACAAGCCGAACAGAGAAGGCGGTGCAAGGATGTTGAGGCGAGCCGGCAATATACCCGAGATGAATCAGGCGGAGGACATCGGGGGTGCACTCACAGAATGTGACCAGGTGTTTGCTGGTGTGACCTAGGTGAAGAGGTAAGGCATCAGTCTCATCAATCTTAAAGGGAGATAAGATAGATATTTTACTAACGTAAAAGGTCAATCAGATCAACATGCCGTTTTCGAAGGTTTTCAGGCGAACACTGACATTGAATCTCGTCAGAAAGATATGAGTCGAATGTGGGCTGTGAGGTCCAATTGCGAGTGTAGTGTTGAAGGTAAAGATATGAGGCAGTGAGTCGAGCTTCAAGGGCCTTCCACCTTTCCTGGATCCTAGCTCGGGCTTCCACACGACGAAGTGACTTCTGATGGCGAGCATAACAATCTCCCGGAGAGTCGAGCCTGATTTCAATACCAACACCGACTCCATCATCTACATCTTCCCAGTTTAAATCGTCCTGATTGTGTTGTTCGAGAGAGGGAAATGAGTTCGAATCTTGCGGAAGCTTAAGTAAACCAAGGGATTGATTGATCTTCAAAGCTTCGTCGCGAGTCATAGTGGAAGATGAAGGTATTTTCTTGGCTCTTCGGGATCGTTTGTTTCCATGGCCAAACAAATCAGTGTTAAACCCAGAATGATGATGTTTGCCCATGGTGATAGAAGTATTTGAGGATTGGATTGAGTGGGCGTGGTGATGAGAGCAATGATGAAGATCAATCGGTGAAAGATGAAGTGATGGCGCAGGTGTGATGATGATGTATGTATTCAAGTGGTGGAGGGGTTTACAACTCATGCACGTATGTAAGCTGTGTAGTAACGTTGACCTACATAGGATATTATTTCTTAAGCCTTAAACGGCTAAGTTGTATGTTGTGAAATTCAAAAAATCTCTTGGGTCAGTGTGAAGTTGAGGACCGAGAGATGGCAAGATGGTCGAGATGATTTGAGATACGAGACAGGCCACTGATAGTGGCCAGATCGTACACCACCGGAGGGTCCTGTGCCCAAAAATGGCCCGCCGCGGTCCAAACTGGGTCGGGCCACGAAGTCGCCTTGCATTCCCAGCTGCGTGGCCCAAGATCCAATTGCCAGACGCCACATTCGTGATTGCTGTAAGATGCCCTGCAGCCACCCGTGATCCTCCGCGTAGTCGCCGCTGAGCCGCCACACCATGTATTGCAATTGACCAGCGATACGAGGTTCGCCCTTGAACCTCACAAGACAAACTCTGAGAGATCATTTGATATCGTGTGCACTCCTTACTCCTTACAATCAACAATCACACACCAGTTCCGTAATCCACTTGCCAACCATGGTTAACCTAGCGCAACTACTCCCGTTCCCTGATCGTTGTCAGTTATTCTTTCCTTCCCTCAATTTCATCTTGACGGCAGTTTTGCTGAGCCTTGTCCTGTGCAGACATCACTTTGCAACACCACGATTGCAAATTCCGTTGTGAAATCTGCGGAGGCAGGACAATGCGGGATTACTGGCCCCACATAATGGCAGACACCCATCAATCCTCAATTCGACGCCTGGTTGATCAACAGGCCGCGCAAGAAGACATGCAAACAGGCATTCACAGTGCCGAACAGCCCCTCAGCCCCATGTACCCACAAACACCTTCACCACCTCAAACTCCCATATCGACCCTGTTGCCACTCACACTGCTCCGCGGCTTCAACAGACCCGCCAGAACAGGTGATGACGACAGCGACTCAGATGTCTCCGAGCCCCCAATGGACTTCAACAGCTTGAAACAAGCTCTCGAAGCGTTGGCCCAACCTGACGATGAAGGCTCGGACGCGGATCACGAAAACGACCTCCCACCGGAAGAAGAATCCATCGATGAAACTTCTGAATGGTATCCCTTCAAAAATAAGGAGGTTAGCGCCATTCTCTCCAAACATTACATACAAATAACTTAACCATCCAAAGACCTGAACCTGACGTCAAAAATATTCTGAGCAGCAAGCGGTGGCAGTTCTGATCATTGGATCCAATCAAAACATTCTGTCAAGATCCCAATACCAGAGGATCCGCTCCATACTTCGTATTTGTGATGTGAACCTGCCGGAATGGGGCTCTGTAAGGGCCTTGACTCGTCGATTGAAGGCCAGACTGGGAATCAAAGTTAACGAACGGCTGAGTCCCTCCGGTATGCCTTTGTTCGGCCTTGATGTGAAGACCATCTTACAAAATGTGAGGTCCAATTCATTATCTCATCTTTGGTTGTGGACCGGCCTGACAGATTTGTTCTGCAGGAGCTCGCGAACCCATTGGTTTGCCCACATTTGGTTTTCGTCCCAGAGCTTCCCGTCGGCGAAGGAATCAACCGCCTGTCCCAATGCAAGAAGTGGCGGGAGGAATTCTCCCCGCTTTTACGGGTGCAAATGGTGGTCTCTGAGCAAAAGAAACACTTCTACTTATACGAGCCGGTTCAGCTAAGAACCCATCAACTAGTGGTTCCAATCTTCTTTTATCAACAACTCGGGAAAATCATGGCAAAATGTATTCCTGCCGACGTTCAACCACATCACCGGCTTCCAAACCGATTTCACATCATGATACCTGAAGAATGTGGTTTTGATTCACCCCAGATGTATACCGTGGAGGTTAACGACATTTGGAAAACCTTCAAAGAAGTTACCATGGACAACGGGGTGGCTCTGAGCGATGTATGTCGTCAGATGTATCGTACGTCGCTTTGTGCTTTTCTCCCAGTGGTAGTTTATCGACACTCACCTCTGTTCTTCGATTAGAACATTCTGGCTATGACCTGTTCACCATGCCCATGGTGAACCCATGGCGCGAAAAAGCACAAGGAAGAGTTATTCGGAATGTCCCCATTGTCTTGTACTCCGACGACACCTCTGGCAACGTGTCAAAAAAGTTTAACAAGCATATGAGTATATATTTTACTCTTGCCGGTTTGGCTCCTGAATTGACAAATCAGGAGTTCAACATACACTTTCTGGCAACGTCAAACACCGCGTCTGCAATGGAACTATTCAACGAAATTGTGGACAATCTAAAGTGCGGCCCCAATTGATCCTCATACCTCTGTCTCCAAAACGCTTGAAAAACGCTGATATTCCATTTCCGCCACAGTGACATCGGCGCCAAAGGTTTTTTAGCGTATGATCACATTCTCGGCGAGGAGGTCTTAGTTACGACGGCAGTACTCTGCCATGTGGGTGACTCGCCCATGCATGCCGAGATTTGTAATACCACCAATCCAGCTATCACCCTCACACCTTGTCGCATCTGTGAACTGCAGGTATCGCGCCAGGCGGACAAGAAGGAGCAGTGTTACGTTTCAGATTTCTTGGGTCACAATGCCGTAGGTCAGAAGGTGAGTTTGATCACTTTTGTGCTCTATTATGATCATACGTTATTGATTCACATATGTATTAGATCAATTTGCCTCCCCGTGTTTGGGATGTGACCAGAATACGTACACACAAAGTCTGGAACCTTGCAAAACAACCAAACTCAAAGACGCTTATTGATGATAAGCTTCGTGAATACGGCCTCAGAGACACCCTGGCCGACTACTTTCACAAAAAGATGCAGGGCGCTCATAACGAACTCTCGTCCGTAGATGTTGAACAACTGTTCGAAAACTTGAATGCGGAACTGGGCCTTCATATTTTTAATCCCATGCTCAGACTTCAAGGTAGGTCATGACCTTTAATATGATCGCGAAACAAATCCTGACAGCCTTTTTTTGCCCAGGATTCAATGGCCACCTTGATACGCCGGTCGAGACGCTCCATTTGGTCTTACTGGGTGTGGTCAAGTACTTATTTTGGGACACTATGCACGACCTTGGTTTGAAGAATGGCTCCAAAAAATTTAACGATGTTTTTGCCAAGTGGAAAACCTTTTCGATCAAAGGGCTCAATATTCCTCCCATTATCCCGGGAACCCTTATACAATTCAATCGCAGCCTAGTCGGGAAGGAATTCCGTACGGTTCTCCAGACAGTGCCCTTTGTACTGTTCGAACATCTATCGACCAAAAAACATCATCTGTGGACTTCTTTATGTTTGCTCGGATCATACATCGTCCAATTGGAAATCGATGACCTCAAGGTATACCTTGACAAATTAGATTGCCACATTGAAAGCTTTCTACATCAAGTAGTGCGCATGTCAGCGCAGTGGGTTAACAAACCCAAGTTCCACATGTTATTACACCTCCGCGAATGTATCCAAAGGTTTGGGCCCGCGATTTTATACGCAAGTGAAAAATTTGAATCCTTCAATGCGTGTTTGCGAAATGCTTCAGTTCACTCTAACCGGCAGAGTCCGGGCAGAGATATTGCCAACAATTTCAACAACTTGGCCCTTCTGCGTATGTTACTTTCAGGATTGTCGTTCTACGATTTGGCGTTGCATGCGCGAGTGCAAGCAGGCCCAAAGGTGACCAACCTTTTTGAACACATTCCAGACCTTCATGGGGCTTTAGGGTTGCGCCGCAAAAGTAAAAGCAATGCCGAGGCACTCATTCTTGCTGGAAGTAAGCATTTCAAATGTTCCTTGCAAAGCATCTTACACGTGCATTTATCTTTGCTTCAACCTCATTTAATCAACCTTTGCCAGAACCCAAAGAGACTCCCGTTGCGTACCCCGCCGCGTTAGGAGATTTGGCACACACGGATCTGCAAGAAATAACCAGTGTCACGTTACCCAGTGGGCAAAAGATTGAAAGTGGGGATTTTGTTTTGGTATGTTGGATTCCGTAAAAATGGGGCAGTCCACTGCGCTGACAATATTGTGATTGTTCAGTTGCAGGACTCTGACCACATTGCCCATGTGGCCTTGATCTGGAAACCAAACGGTCATTCACCATCCACCACAGTCCTATTATTGGACATTTGCAATCGCGGGAGGATTGTACCATTCTATGGGATGCGTGAGGTCATAGTCACCGAACAGCAGGTGTTGAAGCAAGTCAAGGTATATTTCTTTGAGAATGCTGTCCTGTGATGTTTAAGGCCTGGTTTTCACATGTTTTTTGTCCCCGCTTGTTAGAAAAATTTGGTGCCTTATCAATGTCCAGCACAATTGCCATGAGGGCCACTTTGATGTTGGGCAATCTCGTGGGATGCGGGTCACAGGGAAAGACGTTGGGACAACCATTCCCATCGTCACTCAGGACGATTCCAAGTCTTTTGTTCTAAACTCGGCTGCCCACTACTCAGCAGATTTGCACAGACAGCTCTCTCGAGTGCAAGTGTCCAGGGTTGGAAGTGAACAATGGCACAATGCCATCAAGATGGGGGTCGACACCTGGAAGTCAGTGCCCGTGCGCCCACGTCAGCAACGAAAACGCAAAGTCACCAAGCAAACCATCGACAACAGCTCTTCAGACAGTGATGAGGAATAGATATTGTCCAGATCTCCCAAAAGAAGATCGAGGAACGGATTATAGGTCCATGTATCGTCATGACATGAAGTCAGGTTGTAACATTTTTTAACACTCAGTCGTCTTAGAATGACTCATGACGCAAATGCAATCAATGCTAAATCCAAGAATTTTGTGCCCCCCAGATGAAGCCTCCCAGAACTTCAATCTCCAAGTAAAGTGGCTTTGGTCCTGTCCTTTGACCGCGCCTCACACGTTGACCCCCAAACTGCCGCAACTGTCCGACCATGTGTGCAACATCTGATCACGCTTCGAACTCCCAGATGGGTCCGAGTTGAGCAGCGTTGTCCCACAACGGCGTTTGTTGGTTTCACAGGAGAAGTCCATCAGTTGGCATCGCCGCCCCAACGCGTCATTTTGGGCAACGCGTCGTTCACGGACGGCGGCTTCTGATTGGTCAGACAAGACCATCATGAAAGCGCCCATCCAAGGGGTGCGACACGTGTTTTTTTAATCGCACCCCTGGGTTGAAGTGCAAGTGTCTCCTTTAAAAGGTGCCCGTCATCGCCCTTATTCCCAATTTTCTCAGGCTCGACTTTCACTTCAATTGCTTATCACCTTCAAGATATTCAAAATCCCTTCCAAACAAGCCTTTTGCTCCACTTCATTTTATTCACATTAAACCGCTCACTATGTCATCCCAACAATCAAGTGTCACTCCCTCCCTTCAAAATTTGAACAACCACTCGCTTCTCCGACGTGCTAATGGAGCTCTCAGCTCCACTACCACTGCCAGCGTTAAAGAGGTTCCCAGATGGGAATACGGGTCCTAGTGATCAGATTCCCATTCTGCTACTGTTACACAGTTCCATGAATATTTCCTGAGTAGCCATTGTGATATATGTAGTCGATATTTTGAAATGTGTGTCTCAATCTGAACAAAGTTACAGCATGTATTACACATGATTTTCTTATCTAGATGAGCAGATAACTGAGCGGACCTGTATGTAGCTGATAGCTAAGGATTACTCAGATGTTTGCACATATGTAGTGTATGCTTTATGGCTCAGATGTGCAGTGCAAGATGATTTGATTCTCCATTCTTCTCTCAATGATATTCCCAGCCTAGGTCATGTTCCAACCAGGGAACCTATTTAATGCTGGCAGTGTACGCTCCGCTTGCGCGACCCATGAGCCAGTTCTCCTACGCGCCCTTTGGGAAGTGGTCTTCGTCGATTATCCCAAAGCGACATGGGCTCCCCCACTCCAGAGCGTGATGATCTCACCACTGAGCCAGTCACTTCGCGAACTCTTTCTTTGGAAGAGTTGAACCTGTTCAACACGCTGGCCTTGAATGCTGGGTTGGACCCAGTCCATCGACAGCGCGCGCAACAACACGCTGAGGCAAGTTGTTTTAATTGCGTCTCCCAAACACTTCACGAATTAACCACAAATTCCCTTGTGGTATCTTGTTTTTTCTTTTGAATTAGGTTTACGGCAGTATACCTCAACACATCGCCCTGGCTGTAGTCCACGCCAAAACTCAGCTCGAAGTGTCCAGCTTGGCTCAAAAGATGGACACCATCACTGAGAAGCTTGACCAGCTCCTCAGTACGGTCGCGGCCCAACAAGGAGCCGCGCCTCAAGGCAACGCACCCATCGCTCCTGCGACGGTTGCGTGGGCTTGCTCTCCAGCACTCCACGTAGGATCTTGTTTCCTGTTTTTCCGTGTGTCATGAATCACCAAGTCCTGATTTGATCCTCTTCCTCAGGATTTGATCCATTCCCTAGCGAATAGGCTCATCCTAAGCCCTAACGTTCAATCTTATACGGCTGTTGAGATGGACAATGTTTGGCTGTCTCAATCGCTCTTCAGCTCGATCAAAGTGAGTGAAACTTCTACACCAAATGTGATTCTTCTTGCTCAATTCGAGATGGTTTGTGTTTCCTGTTAATTTCTTTTATCAGCATCAAATCAATCAGCAACCAGCTGAATGGTTGGAAGAGCACCTCCCACACCACGACCACGGTATTCAAGATGTGGTCGGCACCCGTGTTTACAACACATGCATCCGAAACGCGTGCAAGCATGCACGCGAAAAACTACACAATCTGGTCAATTTGTTTTATCGCCGCTTCTATCTATCGAAGAGTCTCTGCTGACATAGTTGAATATAACACAGCTTTTGGTCGGAATTTATGACGTCAAAACTGGCGAAGTCCTTGACGTGCCTGTGCCCAACCTTAAGTCGCTCTGGTACAGAGTGCGTTCAAGCCATTCTTTTCTTATCCAAAGACCTTGAGTTGACAGTTACGCACATACAGATTGCACACCGGTTTTCGATCGCTGGGCAGCATGCCGATGCAAACTCCTTATGGGCCAATACTGATTCGCCCACATGGGCCCGAATGGCCTACCTCGTAAGTTGATCTCTCTCATCTCATTCCCATCAGCTGTTTGATTTTGTCTTCTCGAACTACCCCAGCGTTGCGAGGCAGTTCGAATTTACCAGATTGGCAGAGGGTCAAGCTCAATTTGGGCGTGCGCTGACACCCTACTGAACAAGTTGCGCCTCAAGGGCGATGACTACACTGCCGCGTGAGTTTCTTGAATACTCAACTCATTGCCAGTGAAACTCAATTAACGCTTTACTATGTACATTAGGTTTTTGAAAGTGGTATACAATCAAGACGCTGAAGCCTTCAACTTCATGAACTTCTTCCAAGACCTCACAGTACAATGCAATTTCAAGTTGCCATCTGATGAAGAGGTCGAAGCTGCCATTGAACCGATGGAGTAAACCAAACCCTTGGAATCGCGGGCCTTTTCTATTTTTTCACTTGAAATCATGTTTCATTTTCTTTCTATTTTTTATGAAATACGTTAGGTAATATGAGATCACATCAAATGGCCTCTATCAATAAAAACCCCCAAAAAATACTTATCCCCATTTTACTACATGAATCATGTTTACTTTTTTATTTCTTTTCTTTAAGTCGCGCCATTGTTTGGTGATCTGTTTGGCGCCAGTTCACATCCAATTGCCTCTATCAATAAAAACCCCAAGAAAGTCTTTATCCCCATTACCCAAATGTGCGCGTTTTAAATGATGTAACTACTCACTCACATGGAACTGCTTCAGATGGAATACAATAGGGATTGGGCGGACACTGCTTGTTGGTGTCCCAAGCTGCAGTTCAAATTCAATTCAATCCAAAAATGACTGGATATCAGCCACTGTTCAAACGATATCAAAGCCAGCGATTTTTATTTTTCATTTTTTTGGAAGAAAAAAAAGCTGTGTGGCGTGACAATAAGAGCAGCATCCCTCTTGAGCCTACTCGCCTACACCAGCTTAAAAACACTCGTCCGGCCAAACAAGCAGCCTTTTCAAAAGCCTCTTTGTTTGGCTGGCTTAATTCCTGTCACAGGTATCCGCCGGGTAGCTCAGTAAAATGAATCAGGTGAATCAGTGACATCTATTTTGATATGAGTAGCCAAGTTCCGACAACTTCGATGGCGCCAGATCCGCTGGCTACAACTCGGTCGAACTTTTCGCCCAATCCCTAATAACCACCGTTTATCCCTTACTTTTTGTGTGTTGCAAGTGCCTGCACAGAGCGGCAGCGATCTGAGCTCGTGAGATTTGAGGCGTGTCTGCGTGGGTCCTGGGTACTGGGGCCTGTGGCGTTCGGCGACTGCGATTGGCTGAGAAGTCAGACCTTGGCGGTCCAAATGCCTTGGGGTGGCGGCCTTGAATGGACGCCGGGTGCCGGTCTACGTGAGGGCCTTCTTGGGGTGGCCCTTCTGTGCGTAGGGAGGGACCGTCTGCTGTCCGCCATGAGGGGCGGACGCGAGGTGGTCCGGACCCTCCGGTGGTGTACACTTCACTTCAAGTGGTTTTATACAGAGGCCCGAGGTGCTGCATTCAAGTTTGTAAGGGGAGGGAAACGTTAGTCTTCAACTTCAAGCCGTCTCATCTGGCCCAATCATCGCGTGGGTTTGTTCTGCGGGTGGAGGATATGTACATACAGGGACATCGACCGATCTTGAACCCTCTGACTCCAGATGTCGTCAACATAGTCTGCTCAGATATGTGGCAACCATCGGTTTTCCATAATGGGTGTGTGTGTACGAGTTCACTTATCCTCTCTTGCGAGGTGTACCTGCTCAGCAAAGGGCAAGGTAGCGGTATAGTAAAAGGAGTCACAGGGTAACAGAGCCTGGTGCAACCTGGGCAAAGCTTTGTTTTGTTCCGCTTCGCCATCCGGCGCACGCTAGATCTAAGATGCTGATGTAGATGCTGATCTGGTACATATCACAGGAGTCGCTCTCCGGCAGTCTCCGCATCTCACGTCCTTCTTGGGTGATTGATTTGCCCATTCATACAGGATTGTAATCAATGAGACTTCTTGCACATTCTGTAAAAGATCAGAGGTGAGTGAGGTGAGATCAGAATGGGTTCATGCTCAGTTTTCTGCACGCTAGCGCAAATACAAAAACAACTTTATCAGACTTGAGTTTATCTCACCAGAGCTGTCATCAAGGTCACTTCATAGACTGCGAATATCACACGTCCAAAAAGATTGCTAAGCACAAATTAAAGAAGAGGCTTCAGATCGGATCAGTTGAATCCTAATCTACCTTTGTTGCGAAAAAAATAAAATCTTCAAAGCACACCTAAGCACTCATTTTTTTCGCATAAAGTGTCTCGAGCATACTTCATACCCACTATCAAACCCTTTTTGTTTCTGTTCTTCTTAAATACAAGCTTCATTGGAATTCGTGATCACCCACAATTGTTTTACAAGATCTCAACATCCGAACCGTTTTCAGCTTTGCCGTCAATTCTTCACCAAAGATGGCTGTAATAACCACAAGACGCGATCACAGAATGGAGCAAAAGGCTGTAGAAAAAGGAGCGGACGTGATGTCGGTGAACAAGTTGCATATGATTGGTCAACTTGAGGATAATTATCTCCTCGATCAACCTGAGCACTATGGTCAACTTCAGTTTTTTCAACACGCCACTGGCATCACTGACAAGAGAAGATTGCGTAATCATATCATTTCTATTGCCAAGGAGGCATACGCTGTTTTCCCTTATCCGTGCATCTGGGGTGCGTTGCGTTTTCTTTATCTATGAGTTTATCAACTTTCTTCACCATATCGCTAAAAAGCTTGTTTCGATTTATAGCCTTGTATTTTTGTTACACTCGAGTCCTGACACATCCGGTCTATCAGCAAGTTTTGGAGCAGTCTCTACGCGATTCGGATCAGGGCCGACAACCAATCTTCCTAGATGTTGGCTCCTTCAGTGAGTACGATATACATCGATGATGAGAAAAATTGTGTCTCAACGTTGCCATAATCACTGACTCGCTGACCAATCTGGTGCGGTCTCCTCATTGACCCACAGTCGGCATCGATCTTCGACAGGCGGTGTACAGTGGAATGAAAAGGGATAATGTGATCGGAACTGACTTGATTGATGGTGAGCTGAGCTGAGGAATATCGTTCCAGTCGTCTAAAGTCAAGCCTTAAAATTGACAATCTTACTCTTCCGCGCAGATTGGGCAAGGCTTGGTGACAAGTTATTCTACGAACAAAATGGGGTTCCTTTCGTTAAAGGGAATATCTTTGATTCAGATTTCCTTGAGCCGAACCTTTCCAAGAAAAGAGAGTTACCTATCGATTTATTGGCCATCAAATCTTTGAGTGAATTAACCGGTCGCGTACGGTTTATCACTTGTAATTCCGTGTTTCATTTATTCGATGAAGAACAACAATTTGAATTGGCAAAACGACTTGCGTCTCTTTTGGATCAAAATCAAAGTGGAAGCGTGATATTTGGAAGTCATGTTGGTTCAGGAAACAGATGTGTGATCGAGCAGTAAGTCAATCACCAAGTCAACCTCCCAGGTTTCATAATGATGATGTTTTGATCATAACCTGCATCTTCTTCATCTTTTAGCACGGGCGAGCGAGGAATGTTCACGCATTCACCTGAGGTCAGCCTTATATCTATAACAATCTGATGACAACGCGTCTGATTTCTTTCCTTCCTTTGTTCTTTTTGATGTCGATGCAATTCAATCAGTCGTGGAAAGCCATGTGGGAACAAATTTACGACTCGACGCAGGCAAGAATTGAGGTTTATCTGGGCCCTCCCGAAAAGGTGACTCATTTACTAGGAGTCGGGGAGATGACGATGCTCTTCTGGTCGATCACCATCCTCTGAAAGAACAACTTCATCGCTGGGCTTGTGAAAGCACCGGAAACGAACTAGCGCGGTTATCCTGCTTCCTCAGATGTCTTGTGTCTTATTTGAATAAAAATATCAGCTACAAAGAGTGTAAAACTCTACTTATGTACTCGCAAGCGAGCTAGCCCCATGGGCAATTTGTCTATCTCTTTCCTAATTATAGAATTCTCTTCCAATGAAATCTCATTTTGCCACTGCTCTCATCAGAAATAGATAGTCCGTGGTTGCGAAGTGCGCCATACCTACACCACGGGGCAGCTGGCACATGATGATCAGGTGAAATCTGACTCTGCCAACAAATCCCGGGCTGTTTACACGATGCCACATCTACTGGCTACACATGGAAGCCAGCGTGACCATCACCTGAGATGACCTTGTGGCCACAAGGTGATGGCTCACCTGTTCATTAGGTGCCTGCTCACTTGATGAACAGGTGACGTGACTCAAACTATAACCAGGTAAGAAGGCTTGCCTGATGAACAGGTGAGCCATCACACACACTCATAGGGTACACCAGGGGGTAAACTTCCTCGGCCTCCGATGGTTCTGGATAGGTGTCCAGAAATACCGATGCGATGACGCTTATCAAGCGGTTCCAGTCACGAATTTTTTGAGAAGAGTGACTGGAGCTTGCCTGACACCGGTTGAACCACGTGTGACAAACACACGTACTTTGACCGGTCCCCACCTCCGTCTCAGGAACAATCCAGATGTCAAAACGGGATGAGGATCGTGACCGAGACGGTGATTTACGTCGCAGCTCATATCGTTTCACATCCCGGAACAATGTGAAACGGTAAGGATGCCGTTCCGCTCCTGCCCGAGTGTTGGCTGTGTGAAGTTGTTCACACAACAACTTTTGAAGGCAGTGAGATGATCTCGCTCCAACAAGATAACACAATCCTAACGGTTCAAATCCTGATCTGTTCTTTCTCTTATCATGCATTGTACCGCTTATTTTATTTCTGCAGTGACTTGGATCGTAATCAGTGCACATTGACGTAAATAAGATCATCAATCCTTATTACTTCTACTGACTTGACTTGTAGGTAGATCACATCGGAGAAGCTCAAAATCGAAAACTTTTGGCTTCAGCTTTAGCATACCTCACTTCGACACCCAACCCGGTCTTGTTATATCGTCTTCCTGTCAAGAAATCTCTTTCGGCTCAACGCTATCAACCTCGGGATCGTGCTGGTTCTCTTAGTTCGGTTCGCCTGCCTGTCTTGTCCTCATTACGCT